TGGATCCGCTACTGGTCCTTCTATTGAATTTATCGGGTATCGGATCCCGCGGCACGAGCAAAATGGCTGCACAGTCTCATTCACAATGCATCAATCGACAAAAGTTTGTCAGGCTTTTCCGACAATTCTGATTGGTTGTCTAGATGTCCGCATTTGAAGTTGGAGCAGTGTAAAATATGCGAAACGTGGTGCGTAAAAGCGTAAATAGACACCATGAAAATGTTTCAAATATCAAAATTCCCTGATACGCTTTCGTTCCTCATTATCCCTGGAATGTTTTGGCGAAATTTCACGAAAATCGGTCAAATCTACATACCCTATAAATTCGCTCAAAGTGAATGTATTCCTTTCAAAATCAAATGTGAGATTTTAGCTCCTAAACTAGTGCCACACCAGGAGATTATCTCGCCTCCTAAAACCGCCAACCAATGGGAAGACGGGACCTCCTAGCTTCAATGACGACGGATCAAGGTTTTCCCGGGAAAAGTATGGTTTTTTTTATTTTTTTTAATTTTTTTTTTATCTCGCTCTGTTGAACGTTAAGTAAAGGGCAAAGTTAGTAGAGGAAAACCCCGCGACAAAAAAGGTAAAGCTAAGGAAACTGCTAAAAAGCAAAACAGCGAATCGATTGACAGCTTACGGAATACCCTAATCGCTGCAAGACCTGCAATGAGTTCCCTCGGGGAAGGTTTATTCATATTTTCATACGATTCGAGGCGATTGCCAATGTTTTGTATCAAGGCCGGTACTTGCTAAATGAAAGGAAACTTCGTTTTGGAGCAATGATGGCGCCCTCTCTCTTCGCAATTTAGATGCTTGCGTAGAGAGGAGGACCAGGACTTTTTTTTTCCTGACAAAATGGGGCCATTGCTCTTTTCTTTGGGCCTGTTTTTTTCTTTTTATCTGCCAAAGGACTCCTCTCTGATCTTGATTTATGTTTTTTATCCATGAGCAAAGACTTTGCTCTAGCAGAGAACTTCTGTGTGAATTTTGTCAAGTGCGGCCCGTAAAACAAAATATGCAAATCACATGAAATTGCCGCGAATCCCTAGGGGGTTCGTCCATTTACGGAATTATGGCCCCCCTGAATTATTGACTTTTATTTGAAAATACGTTTTTCTAAATAGGTCGGACGCTTTTTGAGATTTTTGAATTTTTCTTTTTGTAAACGTTAGGTAAAATGGCTAACTTCAATCTAGTTCAATAAAAGAAAAAACGATTTTTTTCGGCCTCTGAAGGTGGGAAGTAACCTTAAGCTGGCTCATAACAGCCCAATTTTGGTTTATTTTTTGTTTTTGTTTTTTTTTTTTTTTTCATTTACAATGAGGTCAGTTTCAAATTATGGATCTTCCACTTTGGCCTTTTTTTTTTTTTTTTTCCATGTGTAAAAGTTTCTTTCAAAGTGACAAAACTCACAAATGATTATGAACTTTGTAGAAATGGCTGACTTAGTCTAATACTTCTCATAAGAATTCCATGATTGGGGCTCCATAAAAGCTTTCTTGTATGATCAAGCCACATTCTCGACAGAAGGCAAGAATTAAAAAAAATTAGACAAGAATTTAGCTGAAAAACTCTTCGGCGATACCATGGTCATAGAGGTAAATAACTTCCATGTATGTACGCGATTCGGGCCTATCCTGTACTCAGTTTCGCAATATGGCTTCCATCCTGACTCTCAATGACGACTGCCTCTGCAGAATTATTTCCTTTTTGGATGATCCGCTCTCCTTATACAGCGTCGCTCTCACCTGCAAGAGAGTCAAACAGGTGATTTGAAGCACTCGGAGCATTCTCCATCCAAAGGTACTACTAGCGAAAGCTGAGTATTACATAAAATGCTACCTTGTGGAAATTAGGAATGGCGAGAGAGACATGTATGACAAGTTGGAAGATCTTCTCTCCAATGCTGCGCGTCTTACAGAAGCCAAGAAACTCCTGACTTATGCAAAAGTGGTGGATGTTTGGGAGAAAAACGGACCTGTGGCCGCTAAATTGTTCACGTGGATCAAAAATCAGGAGAAGAGTACTGAAAAAGGCGAACCGCGAATGACTTGTGTTACCGAATATCGAAGTGTCACGTTGCATTTGCCTGGCTGTGACAAGGACTTAAAGATCGATACCACCTACTTTTATGATTACCACGATAATTACTACAACGAGTTGAGAATCCACGTAACTTGTGGAGATTTGGATGTAAAGTGGAACGGTAAGTTCTCAGGGTGTTGTTGATGTTTGTAAGTGTAGTTGACTGCGGTGCTGATGAGAGTGAATTCGTTCAGTTGACTGCATACTTGACTGTCGACTGAGTAACTGACTGTTGGAGAGAGGTGACTGACTCTTTGGGAGTTTGGTTTTTAACAACTGAGTTCATGATGTTGTAAATTGGCCACTGTTGTACAGAGTTTCCAAAGCTGAAGTTTAGAACAATATTTAGCAGGGCAAATATGAGAGTGACTGATTGACAGATTGCTGACTGCTTGAGAGAATGAGTGACTGACTGACTTATTGAGACAGTGACTGATCATGACTGACTGATTAAGAGAGAGTGACTGACTGTTGACTGATTGAGAGAGCAATTGAATTATCGACGGACTGACAGAGTTATTGAGAGTGACTGACTGACCGGCTTTCCTGACCGAATGATGGACTGAATGACTGGCAAACTGAGGGAATGACTGCCTGATTGAACATCAAAAGAGAGGATGGGAGGTAGAGGGTGTGCACATGTAAGTGCATCTGTGAGTAAGTCAGGGATTGATGAGTGAATGATCCGCATCCTTTTTACCATGCCAGGTTTGGCTTAAGTGGAGAACTAAGTCAATCCTAGTCAAAGTAATCAAGAAAAAAATTGAAGCAAAAAAAAAAAACTGATTGGCACACAGGGATGTGATTGACAAAGGCCTCAAGGTGTAATCAACCCCTCTTTTTCAAAGAAAGCTGACTAATTATATATGGGTAGTCTCTCAAATACATGTTCTAGTAAAAGTTAGTCCAAGACCTTATACTGAATGTTGAGAATAATAATAATTTAATATTTATATTGTGCAAATTAAAATGTGGATATGATCAAATGTGCATCACAACACTTTTTGGGGGACTTTGGCCAGACTGCATCAGCAGTTTATAAACAATCGAAAGAAACTTATTTGAGGATGCCCCCTCCCCCTCAATTCCCAGTAAACATGCCAGACCACATCACAGTAATCTTGTGAGTGGGTTCTTTAACGTCCCCTGCCTAACCAGATTAACTTATTAATAGATGCAGGAGACAAAGTGCCTCGGCATTTGTTGTGAGCAGGTTGGTAATTATTACACCTCATAGTGTTGTACGTGATTCTACATCCATTCAGCAGACTACATGTATGTTTATGTCTAACTTTATAGCATTTTGACAAAACAAATAACCCTTCCACTTCCATGACTGACCAAGACAGAGTTTCTCCTTACAATGCTAATACAATATCAAGAAGACAAGTGATGAGAATAAAGAAAAATATCAACTATGCAATTATTAGTGGACCAGATACCAAATTCTCCAAAGAAACATCAGAAGAACTGTAGAGAGAATTACTAATGAGATTTTTGGGAATGAAACAGTTAATTAAAAATACCTTTTTCAATGCCAATTACCATTTTGTATAGATTTCACCTGCAATGGCCCAGATGCTTATCAGTATTGGACAGAAGAAGAAGTTCTTGCAGCTGTTGAACCAATGAAACCAGTGGTGAAACTCCTGCAGAAAGAGCTTGGTGACACAGTTCCTCCACTAACAGACCTATTCTTTATCTGGCTGTGTTACTTCTTTCCACTTGAGGAGGACTTGGCAGCAGAACATAAACTCAGTTTTAAAGATCCCTCCAGGAATGACAAACCCACGTCAAGTCATGTTCAGCCAGCTATAGATCTGTTTCACCAGAACCTTCAAGTTGACACCAAGTTGAAAAACCTAGCATCTGGATGGAATAATTCTGAGTCAAACCTCCCCAGAATAATTGCTGAAACTGTGGCTGTCCTAGTCCAAAGATCAGAGAAAAAAATTCTTGAAAAGCTTCAAAGGAATGCTGAAAGCTTTTATCTGATTACCTCTGACTATGACCTGAAATTACTGCCCAAACCACTTTTGTTGGATTTGTTTTTGCGAACAACTCTTGAATTTAGTAATTACGGCCCTGGTTCCATCGCAAACAAGTTTGTACAGAGCATCGCTTCGTTCAGGTTTGCAGAAGGTAAAGTGGTGAGAGTTTGGGGAGACTTTCACTGTGATGAGAGAGGTGAAGGATCATGGGATGACGAGTTGAAGCTCAAAGTCACCTTACGAGATGGCAAGGAATTGAAAATGGCAAGCTACAGATGCAAGGCAGAGTCTATCGAAATTGAAAAGTTGAGTCCTCTTACGGAGCTTTTTCAACAGGGTGTGACTAAAAGCATGGAAGGTGAGAAGCACATCCCCAAGTTAGATGATCGCTTTACAGCTTGTTATCTGTTGCATGTCCTGAAATTTGGAAGAGAAGATGAATCATTCTTTGGAAAGAAAGATTTTAAGAATCTGATCAGTACATGGTCTAGTGAGGAAGAATCATCTGAGGAGAGTGAAGAGGAACAGAGTGATGAACAATAAACTTTTCACTTAGTTTATAGCTTGCAGTGTAGGCATCGTGTTTGGGAAAGGTAATCATAAGCTTGTGATCATCTATTGAAGCGCCATCTTTGACTTGGAGTCAGATTGGACATATTCACTCCTTCACCCTAGCCCCAGTCTCCTTATTTTTGACTATTGCCGACCCCCTTGGTACAAATTTCTTTCACTCCCAAGCCTTTCACTGCCTTTGAAATCAAAGATGGCAGCCATTTTTTTTGTAAAGAACATACTGAGCACTCCCAAACTACACTTGCTCTGCATGCTACTTAGTTTAGTGCTTTTTACAGTACTTTATTTTTCCTTCAAAATGACAGTTGAAATTAATCAACCTAGTGGTGCATAATTTAGTAACTGAAAAGACTATAACTGTCAGTAATATCCTAATGAACTGAGGTTTACTGTATGCTTTAAATTTAGAAATCTTTCATCCTATGTATAATGTAGTTATGCCTTTCAAAGGCAGTTACATAAGATGTATTTTACTAAGTAATAATTATACTTGTGCAGTTGATGATAATTATGAAATGTTAAATTCTTAGGAATTAGGTGGAATGCAGAAAGAGAAAATAGCTCCATTTGGCTGTAGACTTGTTCAATTGTTATATTTATCGAAATAGTATTTAAAGGGTATTTAGACTGCATAGCCTAACTCAAAAGTGGTACAAGACCTAGGTTCTAGTGTTTCCTATTCAAAATAAAAAAAAAAACATCAAAAAGACCTGTTGGTATTGTGTTGGCTGACACATTGGCTGATACCTTGATGGGATCAGATTCTTTACCTTAACCAAATTAGCTGTTAAATTCTAAAGTCAACAAATCTACAGTAAACATTAAGGTCATAAGAAGAGAGGAGCTAATCACCAACTTAGGAAGCTCTTGATTGCCTCTTTTTAACAACTTAGGAACAACTTAGGAAGCTCTTGTTGCCTCTTTGTAACAACTTAGGAACAACTTAAGAAGCTCTTTATTGTCTCTGTATCTAAATTCTCCTTGTCAGAACCAGAGGAAATGTATAGAAAGTAGTATGGAGAATATGCACACAATGATGTTAGGATGTAAAAGTTTAATGTCAGTTTTGCAGTTTTGTTTTATCTGGTGCTTGTTTGTTGTCTGTTTTCTTGTCTGTTTGCCTTTTCGTTTATTCTAGTCTTAATTCCCTCAAGGATTGATGTACAATATGGGAGATAACATTTTCTTTGCAGTCCTACAGTTACCATGTATTTGACCCTTTTATTCGTTTAATACAGAAAATCAAAGAAAATAAACATTTTATTCGTTTTATTGACCCAAGCACAGATTACCTTGTTTACATTAGTTCTCCACTCTTTCTTTTTTGTTTGAATTACATTTGCAATAAGGTAAGCTTCAAATAAAGGAATAGTCTTCAAGAATGGTGCTGATACAAAAAAAATGGTAATTTTGTGAGCTTTCCTGTTTGGCTTTTATTTGTATTTCTTTTTTTTTCTTTTCATTTTGTAAAAGTAGCTTTCAAATTGACAAAATTGACAAAGAACTAATTAATATTTCTCATATGCATTCAAAGGCTGGCATACAGCATCAAGCTGCATTCCCTACTGAATGCAAAAAATTAAGATCATTAACAATTTGGATGAAAAAGTTCTCTTTAGCGATACCAAATGCAAAAGCATAAGTGAAGCATATTCTAGAAAGCGATATAGTCAAATACTTCCGCACGTAACTAATTTTTTTGTACGTGATGCGGGCCTATTTCTTGCTTACACTTTCCAGCAATGGCCTCCATCCTCACTCTCAATGACGATTGCCTTTGCAGAATTATCTCCTTTTTGGACGATCTTCCCTCCTTTCACAGCGTCGTTCTCTCCTGCAAAAGGGTTCAACAGGTGATAAACAACACTCGAAGTATTCTCCACCCAAGGTTGCTACGAGCAAAAGCCGAATATTACATGAACCAACACCTAGTGGAAATCACCGATGGCAAGAAAAATAACAAAAACTTCTCCAAATTGAGGGATTTCCTTTCCAATGCTGCGCGCCTTTCAGCAGCTAAGGAACTCTTAACTTATGCGAAAGTGGTAAATGTTTGGGAGAGAAACGGACCTGTGGTAGCTAAACTGTTCACATGGATCAGAAAGCTGGAGAGTAGAACCGAAGAAGGCGAACCGCGAGCGACTTGTTTTAAAGAATATAGAAGTGTCACGTTGCATTTGCCAGTCTGTGATAAGGACTTGAAGATCGATACCACCTACTTCCGTGATTACATCGGTAATTACGACATCGAGTTGAGCATCCGCGTAACTTGTGGAGACTTGGATGTAAAGTCAAAAGGTGAGTTCGCAGGTTGTTAATATTGATGCATTTAATTTTATTTCACCTTTGTGCCGATAACAATAAATTCGTTGAGTTCTGGAACTGACTCAACTGGCTATTTCTTGACTGAGACTGACTGAATGACTGCATGGTGACTAAATGTGTGACCAAGAGAATTTCTGACTTAACGACTACTTACTGGACTGACTGCAGTCTGACAGACTGATTGTCCAACTAATTGAGAAAGTGACTGACTGACTGAGAGATTGGCTAACTGAATGACTATCTGACTGTGTGAGAGTGACTAACACTTTGAAGTTGACAAACATTGCTTTAAGAATCCTCTATGAAGATAACAAATGGGAAATACCAGTTTAGAGCCCTCTACTGAATGTCTCTAACAGAGTGACATGGCATTTATTGTGAGCAAGTTGCTATATTACATCTCAAGGTATTGTGCATGACTATAGTACCTCAGTGGACTGTATCTCTAATGCTATTGCTATATGCTGTACTAAATGGTTAAAATACCATTTTCAATGTAAAAAATCATTTTGTTTAGGTTTCACGCACTATTGCCCAGATGATTATCAGTATTGGGCAGAAAAAGAAGTTCATGCAGCAATTAAACCAATGAAACCAGTGGTGGAACTCCTACAGAAAGAGCTTGGTGACACAGTTCCTCCACTAACAGACCTATTCTTTATCTGGCTGTGTTATTTCTTTCCACATGAGGAGAACTTAGCAGTAGAGCACAAACTCCTTTTCAAAGACCCATCCAGGAATGAAAAGCCCACCCCAGGCCATGTTCAGCCGGCCATAGCTATGTTTCACCAGTACCTTCAACCTGAAGCCAAGTTGAAAAACCTGGTGTCTGAATGGAATAATCCTCAATCAAACCTCCCTTGTCTCTTTGCCGAAACTATGGCTGTCTTAATCCAGAGATCAGAGATAAAATTCCTTGAAAAGCTTCAAAAGGATGCTAATGGCTTTTATGAGATTGTCTCAGTCCTCAAGCGCACGCCCAGCTTGCCCAAACCACTGGTGCTGGACTTACTAGCACGAACAACTCTTGAATTTAATGACTACAACCCTGGTTCAGTTGCAGACAAGTTTGTAGAGAGCAGAGCTTCATTCAGGGTTTCAGAAGGTAAAGTCGTGAAAGCTTGGGGTGGCATGCATGGGGATGGGGCAAGCTATCCAACTTGGGATGAATTGGAGCTTAAAGTCACCCTACCGGATGGCAAAGAATTGAAGCTGGATACAGACTGCAGTTACAGGAGGAAACCTCTTCAAATTGAAAAGTTGAGTCCAGTTACTGAGCTATTTCAGCAAGGTGTGATTAAATGCATGGAAGGAGAGAAGCACATCCCAAAGTTATGTGACCGCTTTACAGCTTGTTATCTGTTGCATGCCCTGAGCTTTGGTGGAGAAGAAGAAACATTTCTAGGAAGTGATGATGATTTAAATCTGAGCCCTACACAGTTTAGTGAGCAAGTATCATCTGATGAGAGTGAAGAGGAGCAGAATGTTGAACAATAAACTTTCCACTTAGTTTATAGCTTTAAATAGTATTTCTTTTTCCTTTTAAAGGGAAGGACTTGAACTAGTCAATTGACATACACATGGCAATACATAGTTCAGCTGCTGGAAAGAATATTAATGTAATAGTCTAGCAGAAGGTAAGCAGAAATCTTTTGTGATGCGTAAATCAAAGTTGTGTCTCTCAATGGCAGTTAGAACAGATTTCAGTACATATTAATTATATTTATAAATGCAATATGTGATCATTATGAAATCTAAAATTGTTTTGGAATTAATGCAGAAAATGGTTGGGTCCATTTGGTTAAGACTGGTTCAATTGTTATATTTATCAGAATAGTATTTATAGTCTGTTATAGATAGGATCACATAACTCAAAATTAGCTGTAACACTCTTCAAATTTATTGTACATACAATAAACAGTACTTCACATATTAGAGAAATTAATTTCAATATTTCTGTTAAAACAAAGAAGCTCTAAATTGATGAACCATTCTCAATGCAGGGATGAGGTTTGGGAAGACACTCTGAAAGAGGGAGACCTAATTATCTCCCTTTGAAAAATGGGGACTTGGGACCTCGTACCTCTTTGATTGGTTGACAAAATTAGCAATTAGTTGTAAAGGACTGGTCATTATTTTTTTGCCTGGGGGTGAAAAGGATTTTGGGCGTGTCACGATAAAATTTACTTGATTTCCCTTTAGGCTCTTTACTATTCTTGATAATTGTGAAGAACAGCTCCTCTCCACTGACAGGTGGTCAACTGTCGGCCAACAGTCAGCTGACTGTTGGTAATCTGTCAGCCTACAGTTGGCCAACAGTCATCTGACTGTTGGTAATCTGTCAGCCTATAGTTGGCCAACAGTCAGCTGACTGTTGGTAATCTGTCAGCCTACAGTTGGCCGACTGTCAGCTGACAGCTTAACGACAGTCAGCCAACAAACAGTTGGTTGACAGCTTTATTTAGGTTTTGCTAAAAAGATACTTCATTAGCAGTCATTTTCTACAGTCCAAAGGTCATACTCTGTTGGTGACTGCTGGTCCCCTTTTAAATCTTAACTTTTGTTGACCCAATCAAATATTATACGTTTTTCATTGGCAAAACTCAAATCTGTTATATAGGTGATCACTTATGATAGTTTATCTTTTGTTGAATTACAATTGCAATGTTCTTGGGGTCAGCTTCAAATAAAGGAATATTCTTTCAGATTAGTGCTAATACATAGAAAGTTTATGTTGGCACTCTCTAGAGTCTTCTTTTTGGCTCTTTTTTTTTTTTTTTTCAGTTTGTTAAAAAATTTTCTTCGGAGGATGACAAAATTCATGGAAGCCGGGAGGTCAAATCACTTCCGCCAGAGTAGAGTTTTAGCACCGCGTTTACGTGAAACGTGAACTGCAAGTGACCACGTGATCAAGTTTTTCCCGCCATTTTTCACGTTTGCCGGTTGCGCTCTGCCCTTTCTATGAGAAAGTAACCTTTTTCGCGTTTGCCGTGTACATAACATTTTTTTCACTTTTTCCCTCACAGAAGTTAATTTCCGGAAAAAGGGGACCAAAACTATTCCTTGTAACTCAATTTTAATTGAGGGGCACCTCACACGAAGCTGACGCAGCAATGTTTACGCTATTTTACGTGAAACGTGAAACGGCAAGCTGACGTTTGCCGTTTCACGAACGTGGTGCTAAATTCTCTCTTGTTAGTCGTATGGATAGGTGTCAAACACTTCCGCCCGTGACTAATTGTATGTACGTGATGCGAGCCTATCTTGTTGGAGTTTCCGCCCAATATGGCCTCCATCTTGGCCCTTAATGATAACTGCCTTTCCAGGATCATTTCCTATTTGGAGGATCCGCTTTCCTTTCACAGCGTCGCTCTCTCCTGCAAAAGGGTTCAACAAGTGATTGAAAACACTCGGAGCATTCTCCACCCAAAGTTGCTACGAGCTAAAGCTGAATATTACATAAAACGCTACCTTGTGGAAATCGCCGGTGGCAGGGATTACGGCAAATACAGCAAGTTGGAGAATCTTCTGTCCAATGCTGCGCGCCTTACAGCAGCTAAGGATCTCCTGACTTATGCGAAAGTGGTAGATATCTGGGAGAGGAACGGACCCGTGGCAGCTAAATTGTTCACATGGATCAGAAAACAGAAGAGTAGTACTGAAGAAGGCGAACCGCGAGCGACTTGTTCTACGGAATATAGAAGTCTCACGTTGCATTTGCCGGGCTGTGACAAGAACTTAAAGATCGATACCACCTACTTTCATGATTACATCGGTAATTACGACAACGAGTTGAGCATCCACGTAACTTGTGGAGATTTGGATGTTAAGTCGGAAGGTCAGTTTGCAGGTTGTTGTTGATGCAGTGAGCTTATTATTTATTTGTTTTTTGTCACGCAGGTCGATAAAAGGGAGCTAAAAAGCTGATGTGATTAAAAGATTAGCTGACTGCAGTGCTAATAACAGTAAAATTGGTCGAGAGAGCGATTGACAACTGATTGACTTCCTGACTTACTGAGAGAGTAACTGACTGAGAGATTGACTAAGGGCGCGGGCACAGGAGGCCAAATTACTTGTTTATTTTTCCAGAAAATCTGTTATATGTTCAGTGAGACAAGTGCACCCTATCATTTTTTATCTTACCAAATTTTCTGAAGCCTTATCAAATTCTAAAGCGTCATTTTCCTGCCTTAGAGCAGGACCAATTTTTGTCTGGCATAAAATGTGACAGATTTTTCAATTCACAAGCCAAGATTTGAAGGAAATGTCAATCGAGAAAATTAGATCTCGCTCGTTTAATGTGAGTCTTTCAGGCAGAAGCCTGCCAAAATATTTAATTTTTATGCTGCAATCAAACCATGAAGATGTAAGATTTGTACCTAGGGATGCTGTATGGTGATCAGTACCCAGAATATTCAACATACAACTATCATGGCTCCCAATTTTTTATTTATACTGAATCCTTAGGTCCAAGTACTGCTTAATTTGTGTATCCATGTGGTCAGACATTTGGTGGTTAACAAATACTTTCAGCAATCAACAAATTGAAAATTTTAGGAGACAAATTTTGTCAAGATTTTGATAGAGGAAAACAAATTTTGATAGCTCAGTATGCCCAGGCTCCTAGTGACTGACTGTCTGAAACAGTAACTGACTCATTGATACAGTGACTAACTGATCGACTTTAAAAGGAGATATTGACTGACCTACTGACTGACTGAGAGTGTGAAGGACTGACTGCACAACTGAATAGCTTTCTAATTGATTGAGACAATGACTGACTAAGTAACTGAATAGCTGTCTAATTGATTGAGACAATGACTGACTGACAGACTGTCTCATTCAGATTGAACTTGACTGGCTTTACTAACTGACCCATGGACAGACTGATTGACACACTGACTAAATGAATGATAAAAAGGGAGAATGAGAAGAAGTGGATGTGGAAATGAGTAAGTAAGTCAGGGATTGACTGATGGATTGGCTGATCCAGTCAAATAAGCATCCTTTATTTAAGCCAGGCCTGGTTGATTTTGAGTTACATCATCCCAGCCCTCTCTCATAAAGGAAAACGTGCAAATTATGAGAAAACCAGGCATGCTCTTGAAAGCTAGAAAAAAGCTAGTCTAGGACCCTCTACTGATTGTGTGTACCAAAGTGCCATGGAATTTATTGTGAACAAATTGCCAATTATTACATCTCATACTATTGTGCACAATTATGTGTCAGCAGACCATGTCTCTAATATTGCTATATTTTTTGTTATATGGTTAAGACACCATATTCAACGCTAAAATACCATTTTGTTTAGGTTTCACCAACTATTGCCCAGAGGATTATCAGTATTGGGAAGAAAAAGAAGTTCATGCAGCTGTTAGACCAATGAAACCAGTGGTCGAACTCTTGCAGAAAGACCTTGGTGACACAGTTGCCCCGATAACAGACATTTTTTTTGTCTGGCTGTGCTACCTCTTTCCAAATGAGAGCACCTTGGCAGTAGAACACAAACTCACTTTCAAAGACCCATCCAGGAATGACAAACCCAGCCTTGGCCAGGTTCAGCCAGCTATGGATCTTTTTCACCAGAACCTTCAAGCTGGCACCAAGTTGCAAAACCTAGTGTCTGGGTGGAATAATCCTGAGTCAAACCTCCCCAGTCTGATTGCTGAAACTATGTCTGTCTTAATCCAGAAATCAGAGACAAAATTCCTGCAAAAGCTTCAAAGGGATGCTGGTAGCTTCTATGAGATTGCCTCAGAACTTGATAGGAAGCCCAGCCTGCCCAAAGCCCTGGTGCTGGACTTACTGTTGCGAACAAAACTTGAATTTAGTGATTACAGCCCTGGTTCAGTTGCAGACAAGTTTGTAGAGAGTAAAGCCTCGTTCAGGTTTTCAGAAGGTAAAGTCGTGAAAGCCTGGGGTGGCATGCATGGGGATGGGGCAAGTTACCCAACCTGGGATGAATTGCAGCTCGAAGTCACTCTACCAGATGGCAAAGAGTTAAAGCTGGATGCGGAGTGTAACAACAGGCGGAGAATGATTCAAGTTGAAAAGTTGAGTCCAGTTACTGAGCTATTTCAGCAAGGTATAAATAAACGCATGGAAGGAGAGAAGCACATCCCCAAGTTAGGTGACCGCTTTACAGCTTGTTATCTGTTGCATGCCCTGAATTTTGGTGGCGAAGAAGAAACATTCCTTGGAAGTGAGGATGATTTAAATCTGAGCCGTACACCATCTAGTGAGGAAGAATCACTTGAGGAGAGTGAAGAGGAACAAAATGTTGAACAATAAACTTTGCACTTAGTTCAAAGCTTTACGTGGTATTCTATTTTTCCTATTAAAGGGAAAGTTGAACTAAGTCAACACACATGTAACAATATATGATTTGGCTGTGGCAAGTAATATTACTGTAATAGTCTAACAAAAGTTAAGTGTACACCTTTAGAAATCTTTTACAAGGCCTAAATCAAAAAGGTTGTGTCTTTCAAAAGCATTTAGAAAAGATTTCAGTAAGTAATAATTATATTAATGTATTATGTGATTAAAATAAAATCTCAAATTGTTTAGCAGGGTTTGTACAGGTCATGGAAACCTGGAAAGTCATGGAATTTCAAAATTTCATTTTTCAGGCCTGGAAAGTCATGAAATTTAGGTGTGGGTCATGGAAAGTCATGGAAAATCAATATGCTCTCTATGAGTGAAAAGCAATAAGACCCAAAGTTGAAAAGTTAACTGACGAGTCCAAAAATCAGATTTAATTTCATTAGAAATAAACAGAAGCATGCATTGTGAGAATGTTTGCAAACAGGTCATGGAATCTTTCAAAAGGTCATGGAAAAAGTCATGGAATTTTAACAGGTCAAAAGTGTGCGAACCCTGTTTAGGAATTAATGCAGAAAAAATAGTTTCATTTGGCTGTAGACTACTTCAATT